TATTGCTAAATTCTCTGTAAATACTTTTTTTTGTTAATATTTAAGTGAGATTTCTTTAATTTAATCAAGGGTCTTACTCCTCTATCTTATGTCTAGAACAAAAAATAAATAGTTTAAATAAATATGTAAGGACCTTACTCGTCTCTTACTAATAATATTCTTTATTTAAATAAATTAAATATCTTATATAAGTAGCTATTAATTAAATAATTTAGCTAAAGAGTGGACATTAAAATAAGGATAAACTAACTATAAACACTCTGCGGCCTTTCTCGCTGACAGACGTGTATTTTACAATTTTTTATTTTTCTGCGGTTTTACTCACCTTCAGAAGTACCTGCACAAGTTATAACTTGTCAAATTATTTGTAAATGAGTTTTAATTATAAGAATATTCTTTATATGAATTAATACGTCCATATAAGAAATTTTATTTAATCAGGAACCATTGTGATTGCCGTATTACAAGAATAGAAATATTTAAGGACCTTACTCGTCCTTTACTAACAAGATGCATTAATAATAAAAAGTAAAAAAGGCTTATCCTGGCATCTTTTTCTCAGGTGACAGTGATGAGTTTACTACTCTCATGAAATACAGAAGAATAATTTCTTCCTCGTTTAACTCTGACGATGACATTAATTCTGTTAACCTTGACATTGCCTCTCATCTGACCTACTTTGTCATAAATGGCGTTCCCTGCGAAAGAAAGGAAAAAACTAGGATGAAATGGCCTACACCATGAAATTGCAAATCATTATATCAAACGATTTGGGTGAAGGTCTTGGTGTCCTAGCATCGAGTTTAGGTGATTATTAAAATTGAAGATCTACCAGATAATATAAAGGCAATTTGTCAATGTTTACCTAATAAAGCTCAATTTTTATCCTCGTATTTTTTAGTAAGAAAACTAGATAATTCATACAGATTTGTGATAAATCTAAACAAGTTTAATATAGTTATTGGGAAAGAACATTTTAAACTTAAAAACCACAAACCCGTAAATATAATTTTGGGAAATATGTTTGTGGTAACTCTTGACCACAAAGATGCCTATATTTGTTTGCAAATTTATAAAAAATACAGAAAAATACCCTAGGTTTAGTTTCAAAAATATATTTTTTTGATTAACCTGCCTTCCTTTCTGGCTATCATCAGCACCATTTATTTTACGAAAATTTCCTTAGGCATATCTGTTACCTAAACGATTTTTTGTTACTGGGTCATAATAGTGAACAATGTCAAACTATATCATTCTTAGAATCCTTAGATTTCGTAATTAACTACCCAAAAAGTCAACTTTCACCGAATAGATCTTGTAAATTTTTGGAATTTATTTATGATGGCAGATTTATGGGTGTAACTTTACCATCCAATAAACAAAAAATATAACAATCTCAATAAATAGTTTTATGAAATGCAAAATTAAAGATTTACATATATTAACTGGTCATTTAGTGCCAATTTGTCCTACAAATCAATACGGATTTTTATATTCAAAAATCTTGGAAAGGCATAAATAGTTGTCTTAAAAAAAAAAGCAAGATTATAATTTAAAAATATTAATCCCTGACGAGGTAAAAGATGAATTAAAATGGTGGCTTAATGTCAGACCTAGAATATTTGTTTCTCTATTGCCACTTAACTACTCCCTAACTATTTTCTCTTGACGCATCTGTGATAGTTAGGGTGGGGGGCGTGTACTATTTTAGAATATACTCAGGGTTTTTGGGATTCTACTGAATTCACATTTCATATCACCTTTTAGGAGTTTACAACGGTTTTAGAAAAAAAGAGTAATTTGGCTATTTTAAAACACTAACGCTATTTGATATATTAATCGTATGAATGGAGTAAGAAATATACATCTCTCTAGGTTAGCACGTAAAATAGGAAAATAGTGTGACACCTCAAATACATATTATATTCGCAACTTGTATAGAGTTATCTCAGAACTTTTTAGCTGAACTTGAATCAATGTCTCTAGACCTCAATACTGAAATAAGTTTAAATATAATGGCATTCAATAGGATAGTAGACAATTTTGGGTTTCCAGAAATTGACTTTTTTGCGTCAAAACTAAATAACAAATGTAAGCTTTTTGTGTCATGGAAAAGAGACCCCGATTCTATAGCTGCGGATGCATTTACCATGGTCTAAGTATTTCTCTTATGCATTTCCCCCTTTTTTCCCTAATAATAAAAATAATAGAAACAATAAAAAAGAGGAAGGGGGAGGGTATATTGGTAGTATAGAAAACCCAGCCATGGTATCCAATTTTCTTAAAAGTACTTAAATCAAAGCTAGTTTACTTAGGTCCTAACAAAAACCTTTTATCTGTTCCCAACAGAATTCCACATCCACTCTGGTCCAATCTTATCCTGGTGTAAGGGATTTGATCAGGAACTCAAATTTATTAAGAAAATTACCGCAATCTGCAGTAGATGTATTAATTTCTTCATTAAGTAATAATGCTTTAAAAAATATATAATAATGTTAACAAAAAGTGGTGATATTTTACCAAGGAGGAAAATAATAACATGTATTCTTTAACTATATTAGAAATAACTACATTTCTAGACCAATTTTTTCAGAAAAGTATTAGTTACAATACACTGAATACTTTTCGCTCAGCTATTAAGGTGATTACAGCACCCCCTTATAATTTTCGGACAAGGATATCTCAAAAAGTAATTTTTTTAGAAAACTTAAATTTGAGAAAAAAAAATAAGGCAATAATATCTAGAATATGCATATTTTTTAAAGTTTTAATTCCTTCCAGTTTCAAAAAAAAAAAATCAAAGGGCTTTAAATTTTGAAATATCATAATGAAAATAAATGCATTCCTCAACAGCACTATTCTTAATATAATCCCCAAATTTAAGCTTTTAATCTCTTGTTAATAATTTTTTAAAATTCGCCGAAATTAGTGGCTGAAACGCCTCGTTAAGTGCTATTTTCTGGTTTAAACTGGTGTAAACTGGTGTAAATCGTTGCAAGAAACGAATGATGACACAGAGTGTACGAAACGATAGTTACAGACGCGTTACACTAGAAAGAAGCACTTAACGAGGCGTTTTAGCCACTAATTTCGGCGAATTTTAAAAAATCATTAACAAGAGATTAAGAGCTTTAATTTGGAGATTATATTAAGAATAGTGCTGTTGAGGAATGCATTTATTTTCATTATGATATTTCAAAATTTAAAGCTCTTTGATTTTTTTTCTCGGAAACTGGAAGAAATTAAAATTTTAAAATATATGCATATTTTAGATATTATTGCCTAATAAATTTTGCCAAAATTTTAATTTTTTAAAAAAATTACTTTTTGAGATATCCTTGTCTGAAAATTATAAGGGGGTGCTGTAATCACCTTAAATTATTAGTAATAAAGTTAACAAAAAAAGTTATAAATATATTGATATGATATTTTAATTCAAAATTGGAAGTATTACATGTTTGTGGTTTTCAAATTTATAATTTGATAATCAACGTTTGATGGGTAAGGTCGGTCCAATTTAAAAAAAAAAAGAAATAAGGATGTCGACTATGAATTGTCAGATAGAATTATGAGAATTGTCATAAAATTTTTATAAATTGTCAGATAAAAATTTGGAAAGGTTGAATTGTATATGTTATTGAATGGAAATAAATATTATAAAGGATGAACTACGTATTGTAATTGTCATTTGGAACAGAAATAAAACAATTTTAAAAGGAAAGTAAGGTACATTTTTTTATTGAAAGCAGTAAAGGAGAAAGAGTCAGGTAAAGCATTAGGACAGAAACAGATTTAGAGGGTACAGAGGAAAAAGCAAAATAAGCAGTGAGGTGCAAATAGGGTACAAGGGTAAAAAGGAAATTAAACAGTGAGGCGTAAATAGGTTGCAGAGTAAGTCGACGAGTACAAGAATAAGAAGAAGAAAAAGAAAAAAACCTTTAGTATAGTTATTGAATTAATATTTTAATTTTTTTTTAGTTTCAAAATTATTGTATGTAAGTTCACCAAACGTTGAGGGAATTTTCGAGTAAATCAGTTAAACTTGGAGGTAAGAATTTTCCGATTAACTAAAATCCAAATCAGTACATTTGTTTTGAACCTACGGACCCTGAGATTAAGCAGTAGAAGTCAAGTTATCGGGTGAGTTAAATTTTTTTTTTAGTATATTACTAAAATTGATTTGTCATAACAAAATTTTTATATTTCATCAAAATTATATACATAATTTATAACAAAACAAAATATTTGCATATCAATATATTTGAAAGGGACATTTAAAATTAAGCCTGTTTTCCCAGAATATCAAACTATGTGGTATCCGAATAAAAATATATTGAATTCTCTCACTCTTAATTTAACAAACCTGACCTATAAATTTATAATGTTACTTGTCTTATATACAGCACACAGAATGCAAACTATTACTAAAATTAAAACAATTAATATTTTTAAGACAAGTGAATATATTATAAAAGGCAAAAAAATTATATTTATTTTATTTTCGATTGTCTCTTTTATAATTATTAATTATAGTGTTTATAGCTATTGTATTATAATTTCAGTTTAAGGATCCTTATTGTTATAATATTACATTTATTCCTAGTTAATATTAATAAAAATAAAAAGAAGAAATAAAATTACATATTTATAAATTAAAATTATTTTTAATTTTTCATTACAAGGTGTGTATCTCGTTATACTACTTCTTTAGAAAAGTTTCTAATAAATAATTATTAAAACAAACTGATTGATCCACTTTTTAATTGGGATTGTAATTAAAAATAATCAAATTAAAATAGTTTATGGATATTATAAAATTGATAGGTCACAGTTTACTTTAAACATCTACAGTATGTGTTCTAGTGGACCGGACCGAAGTATAATTTAGGATTAAACGACTTACCTGTAAGGAAGTTCAATCATAATTATACGAGGTCCGGTCCACTAGAACACATCCCTTACCCTCCCTATGAAGTTATTATTCAGTTGATCCATATGTGTTCTTAGTGACCTAGCAACCAAAATGCATAATGAGAGTGTAAACGGGTCTTATCAGCAAGGTAGTTTTTTCTCAACTATAAAAACTGGTGACGAATTCGATATACCGGATGTATCTACAATATGTGTTCTAGTGGACCGGACCTCGTATAATTATGATTGAACTTCCTTACAGGTAAGTCGTTTAATCCTAAAATATACTGATAATTAGTTTGACAGAATTGTCACTTATATAAAATTAAAAGATAATAGCCGGGTGACCAAATATGAACTTTGATCGGTAAATTTCATATCGGTACAGTGTTATTACTAGGATGGATATGAATATTATATTCGTTCAGTACAATGCAATGGCCTACTTTTTCGTTCTGTAATCTGTGCGTAGAATAGATACTCTCCATGTGGGTACAAAAAAAATATGAATACCGTCGCAGCCCTGTGAAATATAACAAGAAATCATACTCACGAAATGATGTGTTTTGCTAGAGGTAAGAGGTTTTTGCAATTTACCAAAATTGTATTACAGGGATATTAATAATTTTATGATAGTCTCTATTTAACTAATACGAAATACCTATAGCCAAGCACACTTCAGGTGGTAGTAGGTACACCACTTGTAATGTTCATTTTTAGAGAAAAAAAAACAATATTATACATATAGAAAACAGTTCAGTCTCTGTTCCTATAAAGCCAATTTTTCAAAATCTGATTCAATTATTATCGTAAGCTTTCGACTATTTTGACGTACATATTTATTTTTTGTTTTACTAATAATTGACAAATGTAAACATAAGACAAAAATGTAAATGTTATTATAATAAATATAAGTTTGTAAAATAATAATAATTAAAAAAAAAAAAAACAAAAAGCGAATATATCGACACATGAACACATGCCCCCTTGCTTAAGAAGTCAACGCATTATCTACAAACCACATTGGATAGGTGCTTTTGATTTTGAGACAATGTAATAAATAATAACCAAGGGAATTTTATTCACATTAATTTTCTGCAGAAACTATAGAATGAATATGTAGCCATTATACCAGTTTACTGAACGTTTATAATTTTATATTCATTCTAGAATGTATATCGGGTCTGTGGTGTAGCGGTCTCACGCGCTTATATTCATTTATAGGCAAGTTCCTAGTCAGAGACAGACGGGCTTCGAATCCTACGCCGGACCATGTGGATTTTTAATTAAATTGCATGATTCGGTATAGGATTTGATGTGTGCCGTATTAATAGAAATTCAATTTCTGTTGATATGCCATGCAGATTATAAAATCGCCAAGCATTACCGTCTCGATGATGGTGGGTGAGTTTTTCCGGGTTTTCCTCACCTGTAAGTCAAATGGCACCATCAATCATCTTTAAGTCGCCCCAGAGCGCCACGGCAAATAATAATAATAATAATAATAGCCGTCCTTTTCCCTGCACAAGCTCAGCTTTTGGTGTTCAAATTCACTCGTAAGGGGGTGAATTAGGGAGAGTATTATTATTATATGAAATCCACTAAATGTTAAGTAGCCCGCTAACTAAATCGTGGGCTTACAAGCAAAAGGCATTAAATTAAAAAAAGGGTTAATGGATTATAAACAATTTAAAGTTTCAATGAAGTTATAGTTTTTTTACAAATTATTAATTATCAACTGCTTCAAAGAAAATGAACATGCTTTCGGAATACAATGTACTGTTTTTACATAATATACAAAAATATAAACCCATTTTGACAAATTTTTGACTTAGTGCCTTTTGCTTGTAAGCCCACGAAATATTCTACTCCCATATACCGGGAATTTTTTCTTGAAATAGGCGAACAATTTGTGTTGCTGTTTTATCTCCGTAACCAATCATTTGTAAAATTGTTATTTAAGGCATTTCTGTTAAATTACCTATGTTTCTGAACTGTAGTTAATAAATTCAAATGACACGTACTTACAGCACGGGCAACAATTAATGTAATGCGGTTACGGTGTCTTCTTAGTTGGGGACTTTACCTGTTAGATCTAAAATTATTCTTATTTGGGACCGCAATTATTTTGATACCTTTCTATGAACCATTTGGTTTCTTACTTGGTCCCTTTTACCTGAGAGTGTGATTAGGAGGATTATCGACCATCAAATAACTTCTAAATGGTTTCATTAAAACTCATAAAGAATACACACTCATTTTACCCCCATTATATAATAATAAAAATGTATAATACAGTAGTTTCTTTATTAAATGTAAGATTAAATAAATAAACCGTAGATAATTGCATGAAATGTAATTAAGATCAAGTACTTCTTATTTTCGGCCATACCTGATACGAGATTAATTTTGGGATAAATACCGGCAGAAATCTGATGATAACATTACTTCCAGTTTTTAATTCGTGTGTGCTTCATTATTTTCGATTGTGTCATGGAGTGTCAAATCATTGAGGCTGAGTTCGGTTTGGCGTTCGCTTTACTCAGAGTGCACTCGGTATGTCTCAATTGTGGTCGTTTTGGAACTCAGAGCGTACTCTTTTGTGTTCGGCTTGCCACAGATCACGTACTCAGAGCGCGCTCACTCTTCCCCGAGTTGGCCGGTGGAGATCAACGGGTATCTGTAGGAATGTGTCAAAAATATCAAACGTCAATATTCTAATCTATGATTAATCAGTTTACAAGTATTATTTCTTGTTTGTTTCTGTTATAACTATTTCCTATTTGACTAAAATTAATTTTTAACAGTCCATTCCCACACACAAAAGTGTATTCAAGTGCAAACTATCACTAGTGTCATTTGTCATTCCCGTTGTGTTCGTCTTGAGATTGTAAAAAGAGCGAACTCCGTGCGCGCTCTGTCCGATCCGTCGAGTTCTAAACCGAACTTACCCTGAAAGTACAAAAGGTAAAAATATATTATTGAAATCTGGCTATAAATACTACTTTAAAAGAGAGAACAAAAATTCGACGACTTTTTGGATCTGAAGTAATAAAAAAACCTGTCCTGGTAATGTAACTACTTCGTCAAAAAACGAAGTCGTGCGCCTAACTATACATCAATGTGTCTCCAATGTTGCCGTCAATGATATAAATGTCTGTCTAGATAAAGCTAAAAAGAGAAGAATTAGTGCCAGCTACACAAATTTTCGAACAAGAAATGGCTCCCCTTAGGGATTCTGGATTGGAGTTTGTTAGCAACCTTCCTATATTTTCCAATGTAAAATCTTTCGACATTAAAAAATAGGGAGGATATTTCTGTTCCTGAGCAACTGTTGAAATAATTTTTGCTCATAAACGATGGTCGTATGGACACAATTTTGGTATTCGCTTCCCCTGCTGCCCAACAAACTATGATGGAGTGTTCATATTTCTTTGGAGATGGTACTTTTAAAAGCTGCAGCCCACAATTTCACCAACTGTACACAATTCATGCAGATATCGGCAGCACATCAATGGAAAGCAATATCATTCCTGTTGCTTTTGCATTGCTTCCAGATAAAACCCAGAAAACCTACAAACGGTTGTTTCAATTAATTCAACAAAAAATTCCAAACTGGGTACTGAAAAATTTCAAAATCGACTTCGATTTAGGCACTACGATCATGCTTTCCCAATGCGAAGATTACGGGCTGTAAATTTCACTTCAACCAGTGTTTATGGAGAAAAGTGCAAAATAGGATTTACCAATGAGTACAGGGAAAACGAAGAAATTCGCTTGCATATAAGGATATGTGCTTCTTTATCACACATATACCGCACGAAAAAGTAGACGATGGATGGTTACATATCATGGAAAATACACCGAGCTGCGACAAAATACAAATTTTCAGTGAATACTTTATTGACCAGTAGATGGAAAATGACGTTATAAAAGATATGTGGGTATGACACAATGAAAGACACAGGACAACAAATTGTCTGGAGGTATGAAAGAATAAAAAAGACAGTTAGTGATTATATAAATAATCAAATTAGTATCGGCGTATGTTTAAGAAATTTATCATATATTGCCAAATATATATATAATTACTTAAAAATTTAGTTTTATTAAAAAGAAAAAATTGCCACAGAATGACTCCATATTGCAATAATAGCAGGTGAATAATTTTACCTGATAAAAGGCCCTAACTAAGAAGGGAGCAGGTAAGAATTTACTTTGAGTGTTGATAACCTTTTGTCTTATTTGTTGTGTTAATTTCGTCGAAAAAGGCCATTGCAATTGTTTTTACTTGCTTTCCTATTATCAAGAACGATACTCAATTAGTTATTAATTATTTAGCGAGTTGGTAGCGAATTTCGTCGATTATATGGATTATTTTTTTTAGTTTATGAGAATTCGTATTTTTGGGAGTTATCCACATTTTTGCAGAGCAGGTCTTCATTTCTAAGCAGTTTATAAATTTGATTCTATCTTTAACCTGAAAAATTATTGAATACTTACTGCTAATTACAACCCCCTTGATTTTACTATAACCTATAGACCAACACTCGTAGTTTCAATGTTGATTGAGATGACCGTTACAACAAATGTTATTTATATTGTGTTCCACATAAATTTAGTCGATATAGAAAATCTGTGAATTAAAAATAGAACAGAACTGCATTATAATTCTGACGTAAATTTAGTTACTTAAACTTTGTTAAAATACAAAATGTATTCTCGCGATCAAAAATCATGAATTACATTTTAAGTTAATGTGCTTTGTATGGTGCTAATTCGAAGTTGAAACAATGTGAATAGATGTCGAAATATACTACATAAAATATAAACGTGGGAAGTTTAAATAATAAATATTCTAAAATCGGATAACTTCAGTGATTTCGAAAAAATAAACATTTTTTGATTTCGCGCGAATTATTTATTTTGGTTGAATTCAGTGACAGGAAGTTGTCTAACTTGACGTTTTACGAAACAAGTGTTTTTGTTAGATATAAATATAGCTGAAACTAATTACTTATTTGTGGATTATTCGTTAATCACATTCAAGAATCGGGTGGGGGTCAGTCTATGTGGGTTCCATTTTCTATTATTTAAATATATACACCGTGATAAATTTTAAACCAAAAACAATGATTAGTGTTTGTGATTAAGTTTATGAAATACGTTGAAGTGAACAAAAGCTATAGGTATTTTTCTCAATAATTACACATATACAGGGTTTGTCACTAATAATTCTAGGCCCAAAAATCTATATCTTTA